ATTTTGAGCCCAAACTTGCTTGTATGAGTGGAAAATTAGGATTACATTGACCTTTTGCACATTATATTTTCATTTACATTTTGATATTGGTATGCTTTCCTATACTGACACCAAGCCAGTGTCACTCAAAATATGTCACAGTCAGAGGTAAACTACTGGTGACTATAATAAATGTTTGTTTTTGGGTTCTGTGTAGTGAATAACTGACAAGGCTGTTGTCATAACCAGCTTAGACAGTAACAGCCATCTGTCCAAGTAACACACAACAGCTACCGAACACATCAAGCAGCATTACATAATGTATGCTTGAGACTGAACTATTTCTGTCTTCAAATTTCCTTTCCTTGCTATTACTTGCAGTTGAAGATAATAATAGAAAAAGTGTCAGATTGACAGCAACACAGCTCAGCCAGTTATTTACTCTTCCTGATGAGGACCAAGCACTATTACATCCATCCTGTGCTGCAGAATGGAAACTAGATTCATAGGAATGACATCTATTCTCATTTTGATCAAAGCATTTGCTCTCGCCTTGCCCCATCAGCAAGATATCATGAGTTCAAATCCTGTCAGTACCCAAACCATTTATAGATAGGAGTCTAAGAGGAAGGACCTGCCATCCTTAGTTGCCTGAGCCTGACGGCATTGTGGAGACCTCTGTCAATTAGGTTGGATCAGAAAATAAATATTAAGGTGCATTGCTAAAATTTAAGATCCAGCACAGTTGCTTTTCATTTCTGTCAGAAATTTTTGGCGCTCTAATGGTTGTAAACAGGCTGAGTTCTGGCAACCGCATCTGGCCCTCTCCTGCGCCATCATTCCATGTGGTATGTGGGCCGCAAGTAAATGCTGAATGTGGCTCAGGTTTGGGCCATGTCAAATTTGCTATCTGGCATAAGTGAACAATGTCCAGAAATGGCATGGAGTGGCTTTCATGGTCAGCAAGACATCCTATATGTTACTGGATATAGTGCTAACAATGACTGACTGATGTCAATTTGATTTTGTGATCAAACATTCAACATTACAGTCATAAAAGTTTATGCTCAACAAGCAAGACCTGGCCTGGAGCTGATTTTAGGAAGCTAAAAAAAAACTATCAGACTTCCTGGAGATCTGAAAAACATACTGTCTGTCCTAAAGGAAAACACCAGGAACTGATTGCAGATAATTGAGCCAGAAGTAGCTATGGATGGAACTCAAAGAGGTTTTCAGACAGGACTCCGACAAAAAATTTAGGAATAAAAAGTAGAAGGAATTGACAGTGGAAGACAGATGATACAGTGGACATCTAAAATCAGGATAAAGATATTTTAAGAGAACTGAACCATGGACTTCAGGGAGCTACCAGTAAGGATAAATACCAATCTTACACCATCTGTAATGATCCTGAAACTGGAAACTTGAAAAAACAAGGTGTAGAAGACATGTGAATTAAAAATGAATTTAGCTTGGCGTGGGTATGCTAAGAGAGGTCAATGGACAAGTCACAAACAAAAATCTAACAAAAATCAAACACAGTTGCAAGACTGAATTCTCAGTTTCACTGATTCTAACAGTAGTTACTGTTTTCATTAGTTAACCTAAAACTTCTGTCCAATGACCAAATCTGTCCAGTTCTGCCTTATTTATTTTCTTTATTAAATATTCACTATTGTATATTTATTCCATAATCTTTATTCTTTATTCATATTTCTCTTGTTGTGTTATTTGTTTTCCTCTAAAGGTTTCTTCCTCTTGGCATTAGGCATTTTTTTCTTGGATATTGTTTGGTTTGTACAGCTGCTCTTTGTTACATGCACTATATATATACTTATACTTATATATACACATACCCATACTTTTTTTTTATTAAAACTTTGGCCAGGATTCGTTGGTCACACCACCAGTTATCGCCTTCTGGGATAACTTAACATTTACTATTTACATTTACTTACCAATTACACAGTGTTTGGGTTATTTGTTAGGTTCCTTGTGTCTTGTGTTTGTGAAGTTATTTGTCCTAATTACTCATCCCCCCTTCCCTCAATTCTCACCACCCCAACCACCCCCATTGGTGTAAAACCCAGAGGAAACACACACACACACACACACACACACACACACACACACACAAAAATAAATAATAATAATAATAATAATAAAATGTGCTACATAAATAAATATTGAATTGAACATATTATAGGAGAAGCAGAGCTGGAGGAAGAAGATCAAGGATTCAAGATCGGTGGAAGAAACATAAATAACCTTTTATATGTGGATGACAAGGACACTCATCGCAGACAGTCAGGATGACCTGTAGGTCATTATAAGGAAAGTTAAAGAACAGAGTGAAAATATCTCAGCATGAAGGAAACAAAAGTTAGCAATGAGAAAGATCACTAGCATTACTTACTGATGGTGCAAATGTGAAGATGTAGAAGTGGTAAACAGCATTTGCCTACTTGGATCAATTATTAACAACAAGTGATCCAGCAGTCAAGAAATACAACACAAATTGAATGCTCACGCTGTGTGTGTGGCACCTAAAAAAGTAACCCTGCCAATATGGTAGAACAGTCCCATAATACAGCACGGCGTGATGTCAATTCCCTAGCCTTATTGCTGCTTAAAAAAATAGAAACATGGAAGAAAAACCCTGCAGATTTTGACAGAAAAGTGAAGCCTCTTCAAATTGTTGCTTTCCACTGTGTGCTAAGCAAGCAAACATTGATTAGGCTATTCCAGGCTGTAACCACTGACCATCAAGGTGAGTTTTAGGTTCAATATTTCTGATCTGTATGTAAACATCTATGAATAATAATACGTTTTTATTAAATATATCGCAGTACATTCAAGGGTGAAGATCAGTTGGGACCAAGTTATAGTATATTAGGAAATCTTAATCAGAACATGTTCTTGTGCAAGTGCAAGTATAAACAACTCTGTCCTATTTTACAATGATTACGCAGATTAATAATGCAAACTGATGCATCAGTGCCATCTACAGGCGAAATACCATCTCTACAGCACCATTAATGTGGAACCATTGATTGGATGAAACAACATCTCCTCCAAGTTACACTACATATTTAAAATGATGATGGTTCTTCAAGGGGTCTTTAGTAAAAAAAAATGGTTCTATATAGAACCATGAACATTGATTCATTACATTAATAAAGGGTTCTTTGCATCATAAAAGGGTTCTTCAGATTGACGGAGAATGTGCTGTAGAAAATCTTGGTTCTATATAGAAACTTTTTTGAAAAGTGTTCTATATAGCTCCAAAAAGGGTTCTTCTATTGTTACGATGCCAGGTTTGTTACACCAGAAGAACCCTTTTTAGGTTACCTTTTTCAAAAAGGTCCTATACAGAGCCATCTACAGCACATTCTCCACCAATCTGAAGAACCCTTCCATGATGCAAAGAATGCTTTAATCATGCTAGGGGTTCTTTGAGCATTCATGGTTCTATATAGAACTATTTTCTTTACTAAAGAACCCTTGAAAAACCATCTTTTTTAAGCGTGTAATGTTATTTAAAGTGGACAAAAAATTAAACGTAACATACCAAATTCAGGCTTCTAAATAGCTACTACTGTTTTCAGGCAGTGAGATGTTATTTGTCCATTTTAAGCATAACAGTGTTTTAAACATGGGGAAAGATTGGCAGCTAATTAGTTTAATCTTAATCTTATTTGAACAATCTGTTCCATCCATTGACCAATAGACTGTATACTGAAGCCTGAATTTTGTCTGTAAAGTTAAGAAAAAAATTAAATGATCTTGCATAATACAATTATGTAATTAATACAATCACAATATCCATTTAATTAAGGAAAAACCTGGCATTTTAAGTGTTTGTTTTATTGTTTTTTGTTTTTTGCCATTTCTTATTAAAATTAAAGTGGGCATAAATTGATATAGGCCTCAGTTTCATTTTAAACTAATGTTAGTGCTGATTAATAACTAATTATTTGACATAAATGTATACATTCTGTAAAACCTGATTAAATGGTGCAAGATTCACCAGGGGAGCTTCTCACAAAATGCAAGATTTGCAAGATTTCCTAATTTATGCTTTAAAAACAAAACCAACTGCTGTTCCAGTTTATTTCCCCAGCTGTCACCCTGTACATGCTGAACCGATGCATTGATGTGCTTTAGCTTTATCCACTTATGCAAGATAAACTAATGGTTTAGCCTGCATTATTAGCAAAATATTTTTGAGAGTGAGTTGTCCATGAAATCTCCACTGTAAGATAAAGGTGCTTGAATGAATATACATCATGTCTATGCTGAGCAGTAGGAAGAACAGTGTCTGGCTGCTATCCTAAAAGCTACACCACCTACCTTTTATTTCTGTCAATATTTGATTATTACTGTCAGTCTAAGCTACAAAACATCCACATTTGGAGCACTGGTTTGTTATAAAAGTTCTGCTGCTTAAAGCGGACTGTTCAGGTAGCTGATATGAGAATATATTTCTGCCTATTATTGGCTTTATTCAGTTTGTAAAGTAGACAAGTTGCCCTAAGGTTTGAGAAATGTGTGGTAGTACTGTTTAGATATTTACCTTGATTGTTTACTCTGAGAAGTTGAAGTGAATTGTATGGTTAGTAATCTTGCATGTCATGAACAACATGAGTACACAAAACAACACAATTAAAAAATCAAATTTGCAGTAACTGTTTTTAAGAGCATTAAATGCAACAGAATGCAGAAATGAATGTTGTATGTTGGCTTTAGCTTACCGTCATTCTCTGCTCATCAGACCATATTGGCATGTTTACTTGTTTGTGCATGGAAACATTTCACCAAACTATCACTTCACTATTTCTACAGGTTTGTTCTATAGTGTTCCTTTGATGGATTAGCACACTAAAATATTCCCAATGCAGTGTACAAATTACAAGAGGTCAACTGAAGGGAATTCATATGTAGAGTAGCTACATAAAATCACAAACTTGAAAAACAGACAACAAACACATAGGAATGACAGTGGCCAATTTAATCATGTGGTCAAATCCTAAATCCAGATCACATGATGTATTTGTCCAGTAAGGTCAACAGTAGAACAAGCGTAGATATGCCACTCTGTTTCTCTGCTTGAGGAACTCCTTGTCACAAGGGAGCTATGTTCAAATAAACACAAGCAAAGCATTTGTCAGTCCTTTTCATGTCACTTACAAGATATAATTAAATCAAAAAATCAAAACATGTAGCATCACAATACCTGAAGACATTTTTGTAGTACACAATATGTATTGCAATATTTAGTTTTTTTCTCTTTGAGGTTTAGAAACACAGACTTCACAAAATGTACAAGCAAAACAGTACTACTGCATTTTTAAAAGGCAATTTGTTTGTTTGAACTGCACCTTTAACATGTAGTGGTAGTGTGAAGGAAGACAGACTTAGGGAGGGGAGAGAAATCTGAGGACTCGGGCTGGAGTTTTGGGCGGCTTCTGCCTGTCGCTAGAAGGCCAGACCCACCTTGTAACTCAAAATTTTCATAGACCCCCCAAAATTTAGATTTTGAAAATAATGAACATAAACTTATTATGAAGTTCTGCTGTTTGTTAGGGAAAAATAGACACTCAAATATAAATTCAGGGAAAGGTCATTACTTATCCTATGTTACAAGTGGCAAGCTTCTGTCATTAGAATTCTTAACTAACTACGTAGCACTTGTCTGCTTCAGGGTGGCGCTGTAGCAAATAAGTTCACCCTGTTGGTCCTTCTTAGCATGCAAGTGTAATTATGCTAAGAAAAACATACGTATTATATTGGTAGGTCTGAAAACTTGCCCAATTTCACAAGAGATTGGTGGAAAGAGTGATTTGTTACTCATTTCTCAAACCTAAGACTCTAGAGGAGATCTGTAAGATCTCAGTTAATGTGAGGCCTGCATTACCAAACCAGAAAAGAGCATTTCCCCAAAAAATGTTAAACCAAACATTTTGGTGGCACTAAAGCTGGCATCAGTGCCTCTAAGGCAAGCAAGTTAGCAGTTAGACACCACTGGAGTAGCCAGTCAACATAAGACCCCCTAAATTCCGAGGAGTATTTTGCACAGTGGGGACGACTGTCACAGGACTGAGGAACAGGGAGGCAGAAGGTAAGGATGTGAATTTATAGTGTGAGAGAGTGTTAGATTGGAAAGAGGAGGAGGAGTTTTAGGCATGTTCCTCCTCCCAAACTTCAGTTATTCTATAACTCTATTTAAAAATATCAGTAAAGTGTTTTTTTTTTACTTCAACATTTGTGAGAAATGAAAAATGTAAGGTTGGTAAAAATAGGAAAAAAAAATGTTAAAAATAATGCCATAATGAATAAGCTGACACCCAATCAGCTACATATACCTCAGTTTGTGCAGTTACAATGCATTAGTTGTTGTAATTTACAGACCCTTTATACAGCAATTGGTGTAAACCTTTTATTGGTATAAGCCTTTTTGGGCTCTCTTTGGCTGCTGTAACACCCACCACTATTCTAGAAAGACTTTATATTTTGGAAGGATTCGCTTGCATTCAGCTCCAATAATAAGTTGGTGTTTCCATTCATCCCAATGGCGCTGGAGGGGTTGTGGTTAGAGCTTTGTACAAACCAGAACTCTGCCTTGTGCCTGGGGGCATTAGAACTAAGGGGTCCAAACAATAAAAACAGAACCAGATCATCATTCCTCTTCCACCAAACTATACAGCTGGAATTTGGGCAGGCAGCTTTCTCCCAGGATCCACCAAACCCAGATCTCCCATCAGACTGCCAGATGGTGAAGCGTCATTCAGCGCTCCAGAGAATGCATTTCCAGTGCTCCGGTCCCCATTGCACATGGTGATCTTAGGCTCATGCGCAGCTGCAATGTAAACCTAACTCAAATTGTGCTGACATAGTTTCCAGAGGCAGTTTGAAACTTGGCAGTGAGTGTTGCAACCAAGCACAAATGATTTTTATGCTCTGTGTGCTTCAGCGTGTGGCGGCCCCTTTCTTTTAGCTTGTGTGGCCTAATGCTTCATAGCTGAGCTATTGTCGCTCTTAGATGTTTCCAATAAAACAGCACTTAGCAGGGCATAAATTTAATGAACTGACTTGCTGACAACATGGTATCTTATGACAGCGCCAGTGTCACTGAGCTCTTACTGAGGTCTTAGAACGACCTGTTCTCCTGCCAATGTTTGTCTACGTGTGCTTGACTGCACCTGCTAACAATGGGAATGACAAGAATAGTCAAAACCTCTAATTTGAAGGGGTGTCCACATACATTTGGCCATGTAGTATACACTCACTTGTTTAGTGTTCAAAATGTACAGATGATACCCATTATACACCTGGATGCGCAGTAAATTTTTTAAAACTTTGCACTCATAAAAATTACGAATGGCAACTGTTGCCTTGTCCAAGCAGGAGACAATTTGAATTTTCAAATTTCTCATTAAATTTATGTTTTTAGGGATGCATATTGTTATTAGATGATTTATCTATGTCTGTATTTTTTATCATGGATGTTTCACATTTGTCTCTCTGTTGGTTGTATTTATGTAAACTGTGTAAAGCACTTTGAGCTCTTGGAGAAGGTGATAAAAAAACAAAAACAAATTATAATTATTATTATTATTTTTATTATTAGTGATACTCATTCAGAATAATTTAGAACACATGAGTAAAATGAATAAACTGCTCTGATCTGAATGCAAGTTTTGAAACTTAGGTTTCGCATATCATCTGATGCCACACAGTCTAATGGTCAGCCACATGCACAGACAGACCCCAAGAGGAGTTTGAGCCCCTGCCCTTCTGTCCTCTTGGTCAGTATGTATAATAACAGTGTTTTATCCAGCCATTCTTCAAGTCCCATTTCAGCGAGGCTCAGTTCAGAGTCACGTCAGGCACAGAGCAAGTGGATCAGCTCCTGAGTGCCCCCTTTGATGCAGTACCGACCAGCTGGGTAGTTTTCCCTTTCAGAAACTCTGACTTATCATGTATGCATGCATCTCTATAAAGCATAAAGCACTGATACCTTCGGTTTCACATTTCATAACGTGGTTATTTTGAACAACAACCAAATATTACACTGGCAAGAAGGGGTGGTAATATCTTACCTTATCTTAGGTAAAAACAAGGCTTTTAGGCCATGTTCTGTTGAACTCTTAAATACATAATAACAGTTATAACACCCTTTTATAGCAATTACATAGCATATTAGGGGTTGGATACTGAGGTTGGGGGCTCGAAGCATTCATAATTGTTTCTCCTGTCACTAATTAGTAACAATATTATTAAGTAGTATTGTTATTACTGTGAATATTTTTCATTATTATTATAGGAATTGCTTGTGATAATTACAATAAAAAAATTTTATGTATCTTGAAAACATTAACATATCATCATATTGCCCATCCTTATACCAACATATACTATATGACATGCTAATAGGAGTTATGAAATGTTTCTTGTACCTCAGTGCGCAGTGCCTTTCTCTCCATTTGGGGCACTCTTGACCAGTCTGGTGAGCCAAACTTCATAGGCCAGGACACCTTCTGATCGTGTGGGGAATCATGAGCATATGACCCAGGGCTGGGAGAATTTTTCAAAGTCTAAATCAATGTCTACAACAACTTGAACAAACTACAATGCAGAGCAATGACTTCTTATATCTACAATCTGTAATATCTCTATGTTACTTATTTAACAAGCTACTGTGTAAACATAATAGCAGTGCTTTATGAAGAAAAGAAACACAATGCGTCTCTCTAAAGATGAAAGAAGTGAATGTGCTGTGAATAGGTACTGACCCAGGGTTGAAGCTAGCTGTAGCAGGCTTTGATGTAACCCTCTGAGTGGTGGAGTTGAAGGGGGTTCTTCCAGGAGGACACACTCTTGATACACTCCAGTCCTGCTGGTATTTCTGTGGCGAGGGAGTGACTGTCTAGGAGAGAGCAGAGTATGTGGTTAAAACCTCTAATATTAATCACTGAAGAGATACTGTTTCATATTTAGGATGCAATACACCACTGAAATTTTGATATTAGGAACTATGCTGCCATTCTCTACACTCTCAGAAATAAAGGTATGAAATTGTCACTGGGGCGGTACCCCTCTTGTCACTGAAGTGGTACCCTCAAAGGTACCAGTATCTTTTGTCAGGGAACATAATTGTACCATAATCCACTGAATTTATATTTTCTAAATTGTATTGGCTCCACACACCCTGTCTCGTCTCCAGGCTTTTTATTTTATTTTTCTGTTTTAAAACATTAGGTAATGAAAAGGTACACATATGTACTTTTCACCTGGGAAAAACTTATTTGAGGTACACAACTGAATGGGATTTTCAAAAAATCACTGCATCCTGTGGTTGACAAAAAGGTTCCAAACATGATGTTTTGTCTTATGTACATTTTTCCACTGAATGTCACTGGTTCCTCTGAATTACAAGGTCATTAAGGAGCCTTAATATGAATTTTGCTATCTGTGAGCTAACACCGCTGTGCACTGAACTGACATAAGACTGGAAACTTCAGTGAAAAACCCTAAACAAACCAGGAGGCTTTGTCAAGTTTGTTAGTTAAGTCGCTTTGGCAGTAGTTAAGTACATTCAGGTGTGGTCTTTGCACTAGGCAAAGGTAGGCAGTCGGTAAGGGCCTTCATGAGCCAAGGGGCCTATGAAAATACGAATAAAATTCACTGTATGTGTTGATGTTAAATAACCTATTCTGAAATGTGTATACTGATATCAGCAAATGTAGCTGATATTTGCAGATGTAGCAATATTTTCACTGATTTTGGTGCAGATTATATTTGTTGTTATGTAATGACAACTGTATGAAGACAAGCTAGTATGAACAATTACATACATTATGGAGAGAAGGTTCATCATGTGATTTTCTGGGTGTTGAGAGAAGGAAAATCTAATAAAGCAAATGTAGCAAAGAAATGCAAAAAGATGGAGGAAAGCAAAAGGCTTGTTGTTACACGCTCAAAGCTAACTTTGTTTTCTCAATCAGAAGAGAGCGCTGTACAGGCTCAGCAGACTGTGCATAATACTAGCTTTAGTGTTAGTATTGGTGGCTTCAGTCTTGGGGCCCCAGAATCACTAAATCTGTCCCTGAGTACATTAGGACTAGCTGGTGTTACTGTATAATATTGCTTAATATGTTTAATTGTAGACTTCCTTTCATGTGACGTCATTTTAACCCCTTAAATGGCCAGGCCCAAAGTTCTATTCCACACTTCTACCTAAGAATAGCTCAACCAGTTTGCACTGAAGTCCCTGTAGTTACTGAATAATAAGCCTTTGTATGTAATAAGGGGTTAATGCACAGGAGTGGTAGCATGCCTTTAGCATGGATATAGTTGGATTTAGACTCCATAATGGCCTTGTAATTCAGAGAATTCAGTGACATTTAGTGGAAAAACCCATTTATTTTTGTCATAGAGAAATCCTGCTTAGACCCAGAGTTGCTAATATGGGCTGACACATGACTTCAGAAGTCTATTAAGTAATGAATTGATTTATACTTTCAAACTGTCCTTTTTCAAAATTAATCAAAAAACCCTCATGGCAACAGGTCAAATTATATGGCTTGTTATATATCTCCTTTTATTGTAAATTATCTGTGGTTTGTAGTTCATATATATGAGCTCACATATATGAGCTACTGGCACATAAAGTTAGTGATGTGATCATTTCTTACTTTTGAACTTAAGTCAAATAGACCTAAACAGCAAGGTTACTAGTGGCTTAAAGAAATGGTACAAAATTGCTCACCTCAAAAATATTGAAGTGCCTCTGAAGCAAAACACAGTAGAAAATGGCATTACCTAGACTTGTCTTGTATAAAGTATATTAAAATATTGAGAAGAGAAAATGCTTAGCTTGATAACTAGTATTCTATCTGTACTAGCTTCAGTTACCTGTGCCTGAGAGAATTTTTAGGCCTTTCTGTTTGTTTTAAAATATAATATTTCTTTTTCAGACAGCAGTAGACGTTTACAGCAAAGGTGAAGGATGATTGTTGAATCTGAGAGTTATTCATTTGTTTGAAGAATCAACAAAAATATTTCAAACACTGGGTTTAGAAGCATCAAAAAGCTAAGACTGTAGTACTGAAATATGTCTTATGCTTCTTTGTGTTGATAAAAACTGGTCAGAGATTTTAAAATGTCTTTATAATAATTGTGTGCAAAAGCTCAACAGGCCTAATTTATTTTACATTGTGACAGCAGTGCCCTCTAGAGGAAGATAAAATCCGAAAGCATTCAGAGTGGGACTCCTCCATGTAGAAATTCTTTGGTTTGATCACCCAGATCATTTCATATTCTAGATGTCCTGTCACTGAAGTGACCTGTTAAATTGTTTAAAAACAGAACTTTGGCCATAAAAGCATTGTCTTTTTCTTAAAAGAACAAGATGTCAATCATGAAAATTCTCTAAAGGCCTATTGAAATATGTAAGCCTACTGTATACTGCCTTGGCCTATTGTGTACTGTTTGATTTCTTCCATATCAAAGCAAGCAGTGTATAGGAAAAGCTGTATCAAGATTAAACGAGCAAGTGCATTTAGTCTAATAGCTGTAATTTGGTTGAGAAATAGATGGAAGCTGTGCTATGTCAGCATGTGCTGTAAACCATAGTATCAAAATAGTGGCTCAAAAACTCAGTACTTTAATATGTAGGCCTATACTGAGTGTCAAGCAGGACATTTTTTTATACCCCAACTACACTAGTGGTCAAATATGGAAACTATTTGCGCTGGAAAATTGCTTTTCCACCCTGCATGTCCTCTCAGACTAACTTGGGTGCCAGAGTAAAATCCTTTTGCATTTCATAGAAGCCAGATGCTTTGGGCACAGATTATTGATAAGCTTTATCATGTATGCATTTATTCCTTCAGAGTTCTCTTGCCAAATTATAAACCTGTTCACGTGGACCAACTTCTGGAGTTTGAAGCCATGTTATTCCAACTTTGTTTACTAGGTCACTGCTAAGTAAATCATTGTATGAACAAAAAAAAATGTTACTAAACAGTGCTTGGAATAAGTCCTGTATTCTCTGACCTATATATGAAATGTCTGACCTAGATGTCAACAGTTCGACCTGAGTTAGACCTGTTTAATATTCTAAATGCTAGAAAAAGCTTATAAAGGATCCAGCAAAGAAAGAATGCGATGTGAAGATATGTTATTCTCACAAATTGCACAATGGTTTGAGGGAAGGAGATCCAGCCAGGTTAAAATAAGATACAGGCCAAATAGCACCAGTAGAGATGACCAGCAAACATCACAAACTGTATTATCTCTTAAAGCAACTGTACACAGCATGCAGTATTTTCAGTACACACTAAAAAAGATGGTTCTCCTAGGGTTCTTTAGTAAATAAATAGTTCTATATAGAATCATGAACACTCAAAGAACCCTTTGCATGATTAAAGGGTTCTTTGCATTGTGAAATGGTTCTTCAGATTGATGGAGAATTTACTGTAAATGGTTCTTCATAGCACCTTTTTGACAAGGGTTCTGTATAGCACCAAAATGTTTTCTGCTACTGTTACAAGCTTGACATCGTAACAGTAGAAGAACCCTTTTTGGTGTTTTATAGAACGCTTTCCAAAAAGGTTATCTATCCATTTTCAGCACATTCTCCACCAACCTGAAGAACCCTTTCCTGATGCAAAGAACCTTTTAACCCAAGAATCCTTTCACGATGCAGAGAACTCTCAGGCACTCTTTGGGTGTTCATGGTTCTATATAGAACATTTTTCATTACTAAGGAACACTTGATAGGCTGATTTCTTCAATTATTTCGCTAGACACCAACAACAGCTTAATATATACAATTAATACAGTAATTATTGTCCAAAACAGCTACTTTTTTAAAATATTGAGTTAGATGCAGTACACACAGATTTCAAAACATACCATTCACTCCACAGTCCATTCAGTTTATATATGGAAACTAAGCTGCAAAATCAGGTTGTTTTAAATTCATTGTTTCTGAGTTGTCATGAAAAATGGGTTTATGTAACACATTTACATAAACCTTCCTATTTATGCTACAGCAGTTCAGCTCCACCCATTTATATAGAAAGTGTACGGAATGTTTCAGAGCAGCTTGTTTTGAATGTCACAATATAGCAGAACAGAGCTCATTTACATATATAAGTCTTAAAGGCACAGTAACAAAACAGTCTGTTTAACTACGCTGTAAGGGATAAGGAGAGGTTGGAAAATGTTCATGTAAAAATTATTCATTATGACTGTTTTTGGTACATAAAACCACGCAAATGTCATAAGTAGACTTCAGCAAGAAAAAGGGTGGTTCAAAACTGCACATTCAAAAACAAAAACTGACCCAAACGGGAACCAATGGAACTCACGGTTCAAGTTCTAGTCCATTTCCACATGCTAGATATGACTTGAACTGTTATAAAGCATTTAATTGTATTAAGATTTTGTTAAATAGTCAAAGCTTCAGCTGTAAGCGTTAGAACACTCTCTACTACCATTAGGCCCTGCTGGTATCAAAAACCATAAACCTGGACCCTTCAGAACTGCACTGATGGCCAAAGGAAAAAGCACAGTTCCAGTGTTCTGAGGATGAGGGTTCCTGTACTTCGTGCAGTGGAAAAACGCCCTAAGCCTCCTGAACACAAAAAAACTACCCAAAATAGAAGCTAACATTCTGTACTTTTGTCTCATCTTCCTTTCCATGTTTCCACCTTGCCTTGAACTCCCTTTTCCAAACTACTTCAATGATTAAAAAGTGTTCATCTAACCCATCAAATACTTCTGAGAAACCAAGTCATCACAGTCATAGTCCATATACAGTCATCAATACCTGGAAAGAGGGCAAGAAGCGAGGAGCAGTGCGGGCTGCTAAACTGTAGCCCTTCTTACTCTCCGGCCTTTTTTGTAGGTTGTAAAGGATGGTGCCCACCTGTTGGGATTAATATAAGTTTGAGAAGGTAGACAAGTTCATTGACTAACTATCTGAAACATAAGCAAGTTTCCTATGGCTTACATGTTTTATGGCTTTTGCAAAGAATTGTGTCTGGCAAAAATGCACTTCACATATGACATCATTTAAAGAGTATGGTATTATTTAGTATGGGGTTATTGTAATAATGATGTATGTGCATTTTCAATGCTTTAAATGTATTTTAAAAACTTTCGTCTCACTAAAAAAATCTAGCCTTTGTATTTTAATTATTCTTGTTAGTAAACCAGAACTAAAACGTCTAACATGAACATGAAGAAAGCACAGTCATGTCAATACTAATATATGACTAAAATGGATTTATGTGAGTGTTCTTTGCAGGGTGTAGCTTAACTCTAATCTCTTCTCATATTATAGCGTTCTAACATAGGAGGACACCAATAAACTCAGATTATCACAAAAGCTACTCATGGTCGAACTGGTGCAATAATACAGTGCAACATTAATCCACTTAAATCATCATTTGCGCTTTCAACAACAAATTTTGCTTAAAAATAGGTTCATTTGTAAACATATTTAAAAGAAAGGGGCAAGCTTTACTTGTTTGTTTTTTCAAGCTCTGTAGGTAAGGGTTATGAATTAATATGTCATAAAAATGTTAATTCTCATTCATATCAGATCATCTAGTGTGGATCCCCATAAAATTCAGGTATGTAAGCCTCGGGCTTGTGTATTTAATATTTAAGGCATGTACCCACGTACCACATGCTAGTATCTGCTTCTGTATCTGTACGTATCTGTTTATAGTTCCGTCGTAATAGACACATTGTGGTAAGCGTGACTATAGTTATGGTTGCATTGATCCGTGGAATCTATTTATGGTCCATAACAACGAAAACAACTCTCCAGAAACGTCAGTTACCGGAAAGTAGGTTTCTTATCAACCCCTGGGTCACGCTCCTTAGACTCGTGTGGAACAGAAAGAGCTGATAAGAACAGGCTGTGATTTCAGCACTCCTTGTTTCTTTTCCTACCCATATTCCGCCTTCGGCTCCAGGATTGGCACGCAATACACACAAACAGTACGTTTATTTGCATATTACGTCAGGATTGGCTAGAAGTTTAACCTCAAAAAGCAGCCTCTAGATTTGCATATCGCGCTAGAATTGGCTAATGGTTCAAACTCGCCGAACCTCACAAGCAGTCCGTAGATTTGCATATTGCGCTAGGATTGGCTGGAAGTTCATAGCAAATCGCCCCGCGCTAGCGCCGGAGGTGGGGTCTGTCGAAAAACTGGTGCGGAAACCACAACAACCACCGCTTCAGGTCTTACCACGTGGTTGTCATAGCATCCAGGGCCTCGCGCCGGAGAGCCGTGCAGTGGCTGGAACTCGTTGCCCATGCGATTAGGCGCACTGTGCGCTGGAAACATCTTCCGCTCCTCGCAGCTACCAAACGCCACCTTCGTAACTTGACAGTTAGCTGACCAAAAAAGCAATAGAGTTTAAGTAAAAACAACATCGTATGTGTAGGAAATGTTGAATAATCACTAGGAGGTGTTACCTGCATCCTGTGTCGCCATTTCTTCCTGTTTACCTGTAGCGGTGGAAACCATGTGACCATGGCAACTATTGTCACAATTTAGTGACCATAGTAACTGTGACCATGATCCGTAATTCATTCAAAAAGTCTTATTTGCTACCTCCTAAATGGTCAATTGTCTAGTTATCTTATTTTGGGGATATATGTTTATTCTGTCCAATAAACATGTAATATCTAAATATATGTAAAGGGGAGGTATGTGTCTATAAAAGGTCACAGGAATTTTAACTTTGTTTTGATGTTACCTGACTTGGCGCACCTGACGCTTCGACAATACAACTTTTGACGTATTTCTGTAGTGACCCATACTGTGTAAAAGGTTTAGGCACCTGAGGAAATTATATTTAAAAAGCTATTTTCTGACTAGTAAGCATTTAATGGCACAAAAACCCACTAATATTAACAATCCCACTTTCAAAAATTTGGGACGCTGTGAAAAATGTAAATTAAAACAAAATGCAATGACGTGACAATCATATAAATCCTATATTTGATTGAAAATAGTACAAAGACAACAAATCAAATGTTGAAACTGAGAAATTTTATTGTTTTTGGAAAATATATGCCCATTTTGAATTTGATGCCTGCAACACATTCCAAAAAAGTTGGGACAAGGGCAACAAAAGGCTGGTAAATTTGTGTAATGCTAAAAACAACACTTGGTGGTTAATTGGCAACAGGTCAGTGACATGATTGGGTAAAAAAAGAGCATCCCAGAGAGGCTAAGTCTTTCAGAAGTAAAGATGGGGAGGGGTTCACCATTCTGTAAAAGACTGCATGAGCAAATAGTGCAACAATTCAAAAACAACGTTTCTCAACAAAAAAAGGGAAGAGCTTTTCATCATCTACAGTGCATAATATCATTAAAAGATTCAGAGAATCTGGAGAAATCGCTGTGATCTTTGAGCCCTCAGGTAACACTGCATCAAAAACAGACATGATTCTGTGGTGGAAATCAGTGCATGGGCTCAGGAACACTTCTGAAAACCACTGTCTGTGAAAACAGTTCATTGCTGCATCCACTAATGCAAGTTCAAACTCTAAAACGCAAAGAAGAAACTGTATATAAACAGGATCCAGAAATGCTGCCACCTTCTCTGGGCCCAAGCTCATTGAAAATGGACTGAGGGGAAGTGGAAAAGTATCCTGTGGTCCAACGAATCAACTGAAATTCTTTTTGGAAATCATGGACACTGTGACCCCCGGGCTAAAGACCACTCAGCTTGTTATAGGTGCCCAGTTCAAAAGTTAGTATTCATGATGGTATAGGGGTGCATTAGTGCACATGGCATGGGTGACATGCCATTTTTTAGGGAAGGCCTTGCTTATTTCAGCAAGACAGTGTCAAACCACATTCTGCATGTATTACAACAACATGGCTCTGTATTTAAAGAGTCCAGGTGCTAAACTGGCCTGCCTGCAGTCCAGACTTGTCACCACTGAAAAAGTTTGGCACATTATGAAATGAAAAATATGACAAAGGAGACCCTGAACTGATGAGTAGCTGAAATCCTATATCAAACAAGAACAGGTAAACATTTCACTATCAAAATAATGGTATCTTCAGTTCCCACACGCTTACAGAGTGTTGTTAAAAGAAGAGGTGATGAAACACAGTGGTAAACAACCCCCCGTCCCAACTTTTTTGGAACGTGTTGGCATCAAATTCAAAATGGGCATATATTTTTGGAAAAATAATAAAAGTTTCAACATTTGATTTGTTGTCTTTGTAGTATTTTCAATTATATATAGGGTATAAATGATTTGCACATGATTGCATTTTGTTTTTATTTATGTTTTGCACAGCGTCCCAATATTTTTGGAAATGGGGTTGTAGATGAAACACAAATAAGATGAATACATGTTAATGTTAATACGTATACATTACTACACGTCATTGTGTTTGTTCAGCCATTTTCAAACCTGTCCTTGTGGCAGCACAATATTATTTGTAATTATCATACAGTACCTAGTTTGGATAATCAGTCCTTCGTTGCATTAACTCAGGAGTGCTGTTGACAGCACTGAACAAATTCATGCGATAGCTGGGGACATCATGCAGTTGGGAACCAAAACTGTGTTTAAGGGTTGGAGGCCACATCTTTGGAGGCCTCCTACATTCCAAAAATCCGTAATCAAAAAGAAACACTTGTGATAATCCAAAACAGAAAACTGGTTTCAGAACAGATACAAGTTCTTCATTTTTTGTTATCTGTTTGTTATCTGCACATAATGTATAAAAAAAGAAAAAGATAAACGAGATAATTTGAGATTTAAATGATCTCTCTTTTTTTTTTTGGAGGATGATATTTAAGATCTGCTTCTTACATATAATGTTAACAATGTAATGTTGGGACAATCAGCAGTGGATTGCAGTTGTTCCCAAGTACTTAAACCACTTCAAGCCTTCAGGTCTGAGGCCTCCTGAAGCCTCCCGAGGCCCCTGGGCACTGGCCCTGCTGGCCCAGTCAGTATTCCATCACTTAGGTGTTCGTATAACCACACAAGATGTCAACTACTATTTTGAAAACAAGAAAGTCTTGTTACTTTTTACTGTATTTGTGTTTGTTTGCATTTCTTTTAATGATATGTAGTGTTTTTACTGACAAAAACACATTTACTGCCAAGATAAATGGTTCCAGTAGTGATTAAAATCCATATTTACACAACATGTTTATATTGCACTCATGAGAGTCCTGCACCATTAATAACACTGAAACCACTTAGTCAGCATACAATTCAACTGCAGTTGGCACTAGCACTATGGATGAAAAGAAAGAACAGTTAATTTTCCTAACAGTGTTCCTTATAGTAGAACTATAATTCACAACATCAACACGTGAGCTCAAAGTTTTGTTGTTTGATTTCAGGTTGTCAGTTCACACGTAGAGTCACACTTTGTATTGCAAGGTTAATTTTTAAGAGCACTCAAGTTGTACGGGTGTTGATAAAAGCCATGGTCTTTCTATAAATAAGTAGTCACTTCCTCCTGATTTCCACATTCATTCACTATGCAGCCACAGGTATTGAGCCGGATCACCTGTAAGTAAACACTTATGCACTGAAAAATGTTTTATGATACTTCTGATTATATTTTCCCTGCAAGAAATACCTGACACATATATCTTATTTGCAGATATGCTATTGCTGGTGCTGTGTGGTAAGGAGCAGAGCTTGTTTTTTATATGAATAGTCTAAATTTATTCATGCCTATATTTTAAAGTATATTTATTTATCCTTCATGTGTGAACTTCAGATGATTTTGATGTTATCTATTGCAGGTGCTCATGCAGCTTTAGTTGTAGCAGCAAAAAGGTATCTGACATGCGAGGGACACTCTACTCATCTCTCCTGTGGTAATGTTTTACTGCCTTCTCCACATTTGATAGTTTGATGTAAAATAATGAAGATAATAAAACAAAAATACAAACTAAGCTGTCCTTCTCTAACAGATTATGGGTACATAAAAGTCCTCAATGCTAATTATGGGCGCACGGACAAAACGACTTGCTCTGAAAAGAGACCACATCATCAGCTGTCAAATGTTAACTGTTACCAAGAGAGATCTCTCAAAATCATGTCAGACAGGTGAGGATCATTTCTGTGGTTGTATAACAGATGTACAGCATACTATGCTATATATGTGGTGATATTCAACAAAGTTCTGTTTTTTTATGGTAGGTCTTATTATTACAGATACACAGTGAACTATACTATAATATGCTATACTGTACTATACTATACTATACTATACTATATTATAGCAATGTTGAAACATGTAGCCAAATAATATATATATTCATTATCTGTAGTCCTGTTTTCTTTTTTATGCTTGGACTTATTATAATAGATATACATTGTACTATACTGTACTATACTATACTATACTATACTATAATAGACTGTAACAATATTGTAATATGCATCAAGTCTAATATATTTCCAAACATAGTCCTGTATTAATTTAATGCTAGGTCTTATTAGCTATACTATACTGTACTATACTATACTATAATAGACTGTAACAATATTATAATATGCATCAAGTGTAATATATTTCCAAACATAGTCCTGTATTAATTTAATGCTAGGTCTTATTAGCTATACTATACTATGCTATACTATACTACACTGTACTATACTAAAAAATACTATTAATATTGTAATATGCATCAAGTGTAATATATTTGCATCACCTGTACTCCTGTTTTATTTTGATGTTAGTCAAATTATAGTAGATATACAGTGTTTTGTACTATATTGTATTATACTATACTATACTATACTATACTGTAATATATAAGTATTGTAATATGCAGCAAGGTAACATGTAGTCCTGTTTTATGTTGATGTTAAGTCGTATAATAATAGCTACACAGTGTTCCATACTATACTATACTATACTGTTATACATCAATATGCTAATATTCAGCAAGCTCATATATTACATTGCCATAATCTGTGTTCCTGTTTATTCTGCTGCTAAGTTGTGTTGTTTGTGTTTATGTATTAGATGTAATGGGCGGCAGAGCTGTGCTGTTCCTGTAGTAAACTCAGTCTTCTCTGATCCCTGTGTTGGAATTTATAAATACCTGGATGTCTCTTATTTCTGCCTTCCATACAGTAAGTCAGTAGTTAAGAACAAAATTGCTTATCTGCAGGCAATGCAGTCATAACATATTTCTAACAACTGAATCAATTACATTGATTTTATTTGTTATTTTGTATACACTCCTTAAAATAAGGGTGTCTAAATGGTTCTTGGTTTAGAAATATGATTCTAGGAACTTACATTATGTGGAAGCTTACTGTAAAAAGTTTTTTCACACTTGCAATTCTCATTTGTGAAATCGTTTTTTAAAAGAACCATACACTAAAATGTTCTTTAAGGAGTGTTTTTTCTCTAGCAGGGGTGGAGAACTGAGGGCCAGAGTCCAGCGCAGTTTGGTGTTTTCCCTGCTTTACACTCCAAATAAAGCCTGGCAATAAACTGAAGGGTTGAACCAGGTGTGTTTGAGCAAGAAAATCACCAAACTGTGCAGGAATCCAGACCAGGGCCGGAGTTCCTGCTCCTGTTCTATGGCATCACTCCAAAGAACCCTTTATGGCACCTTTACTTTTAACAGTGTGAAAGAAACCTTTGTTCAATAACGTATAGAAGCAGACGATGAAAAGTTTTGTTTTTTTCTCCATATTAAACCAGAGAGAAGTGTAATCTGTGAAAATCAGGAGGGTGTAATAAGCTGTGGTACGTATGAGTCATTTTAGATTTTATTACTTTTTATTACCTTGACAAACAAAGCAAAGAATGACGGCCTCCAGTGCTGTGAATAAAGGAGACATATGTCTTCACTGAACATGAGTTACAGCCATCCAAACATTTCATCAAGTCAGGAGAACCATATTCCCAGATTTGATTCAGTGTTTGTTAATTGTGTTTTGTACAAAAGCGAGTGGAGTGATATTCATCCATCATGCCAATTACGGGCGGCGGGATCACACCACTTGTCCCCATAAACTAGCAACTACATCGCACTGTTACTTCCCTCAGACCTCCAGCTTGCGCTCCAGGTATGCAAACCGTCGTTAAGCAGGCAAAGTTACATTACGTATTATATTCATTATCTCCATACACAATCACTAACCTGCAATTCGTAAATGAGCCTTCTAACCCATCACGTAACTGTGTCTTAACCAATCACAGTTCCAGATGAGTGTTTCTACGGCTGATTTAATGAATCAAAGTATTCATATTATATCATTTTCGTCTCAATAATACAAGGCAGAATTTAACCGTGTCACATTATTGGCTCACCAACCTGTTTTAATATATTAAGCATGTTTCAATCTCAATGTATGTATGTAGCAACAGACCTCTTAGGATGTGTCATCATTTTGTATGGCTAGTGTGGTACAGTATGGTAACTAATCCTAATTTAATAATCTGTACCCGAGTCGAGTACATGCATCCATTTCCCATCACATGACAGAGCTCTAAAGGAGGCAGGGTTCTGAGATGGTTGTGTGGTGGTCAAATGGTCTCATGTGAACCTCACATTAACAGTAAATACAAATACATAGTAGCAACAATGGGGGAGTTTCAAGTTCTGATTTTCCTTTTTCTTTTTGTTTTCCTCTGCATTTGGTTTTATGAGACACACTTGCTAGTGTTTTTAGAAATGGTGGTCATCTAACTCAAGTGATGACTACATTTGACCAATCAATGGTCTGCACTACTTCTAGCTCCACCCATATGTTCCAGCTTTACACATTTGGTATCCTAACAAGAAAGGTGCATTAAATTTACACTATAAGACTGGCAACTTCACAAAAATGTTGAAGTGTAGTAGTAGCCTTACTTTCAGTGTGCAGAAGTGTTAGCTTGCAAATAATCAGCTGTTTTAACTACTCAACAACCTTGTGATTCAGAAGATCCGGTGATAGTCTGTGAAAAAACATACATCGGACAAAACGTAACGGCTTCGGAACATTTTTTGTTTACCACTGGGTACGATAGTAGCAATTTTTTAAAAACCAATTCATTTTTCCCATAAATAGAATTGGCTTAGTTCAACAAGTCATTATTGAGCATGACCCTACAAAATGGTGCACAATTTCAGATGCTGATATAATCACAATACTAGTATTTTGACCATGTCCTGTAGCGCTTGTTCTTGACCTTGTTTTTTGTTGACTCCAGATGCAATGGCAAGAAATCATGTAAACTGAGGGCCTCCAATGATGTTTTCTCTGATCCATGCTATGGCGTCCACAAGTACTTGGAGGTGACCTACAGCTGTAGCTATTTTGTGAGTATTCAATCTTTAATACCAACATTCAGAACACAATCCTAAGCATAAAAACAAACTGGATGCTTGTATTTTATTGTGCGATCATCTGCATAATGGATCCTCCATGTGTGCCACACTAATAACTTTCTCAATGCAAATGCACTGACATGCAAATGACAGGCCTGTTTTTGTTTTGTAGGAATAAATGAGACCCTTCACAATCATGAAGATGAAGTTGGACTTGTGACAATGTGAAATATGTTTTTTTTCAAGTCAGCAGTTTATTTAGTTTTGTATACATGTCTGATTATGAACAAAAATAGCTTGTAAGATAACTGAAGTTAATTTGAATAAAAGGGTTTAACTCTTTCATACCCTTGTTCAGGCCTGGGGCTGTAAAGCTAGCAGTTTAAGCTTCGTAATTAATGTATATGTCTGATTATGAACAAATATACTTTGTAAGATAGTAATTGGGATGATGATAAATAAAAGTGTTCAACTCGTTCTTACACTTCTTTATTTAGTTAGTTATTAGAAATGGCATTAATCTGATACCAGGTAATAGTATTGGGATGATACCATCAGAAAATGCTAGACTGGATGTTGGAAGAAAAAACAATAAATCTGATCCAATCCTGTAACAAATCTAGCCTAAAACAGCACATACTCACATTGTGTGATATGATGTTGTTAGATGATTCAATAAAATGATAAGTAGTTTTTAAAGAACAAATCTCAGCTCTTTATCGGCTGATGCTCAATATTTCAATATAAGTGCTTATTATATATCTATTATTTGCTAAAAATTCTATAACTTACCATTACACAATCACAACATCAGATGGGTATACTGCAATAATAAAGGCAGACTTTAATCATGTTACATTATTTGCTCACCGACGCTTTTTAATATATTAAGCATATCGAAACCTCAAAATATGTACGTAGCAAGAGACCTCTGAAGACTGGTCAGCAGAGAGGATTCAAGTGTTGCCTTCCAGCGCTGATACATGTCCTTCATTGTAACCGATTTCAAATGGTGCTAGAAACCCCAAAAGACTCTGAACACCAAAAGAAATCGGTCAGCCTTGGTGACAGGACACAATCTTGTAGTTTATGCTTCAGGCAGGTTTTAGGAACAACAAAGGTTTCACATGATAAAAAGTTTAGTTTGAACCAACTAAATACATAAAGACAGAAATGTTATGGCATGGTTCCACAGCAAAGATGTTTGTCCCACCCCTAGAACACTGATTTCAAATGGTGCTAGATTCTTTACAGACACTCTAAGCCACCATCTGAAACCAGCTTCCAAGAGGAGTCACTATCATCCTCTGTCTCTCTGTGTGCTTCCACTCATCAGTTTGCTGAAACATAATATTACATGAGGATTAGGGTATAGCACAAAAACAATGTGGCACACATTTGTCAACTTTCTACACAATGTTACGGCAGCAACATCCTCAGCCTCGTATTTAGCTTCTTGTCCCTAAAGCCAGTTTTTATACATTTTGTAAAAGTTCTAAGACATTTGTTTATGGACCGTCTAGTACTGTTTAAGGCCCAGGACAGTATTTTTTTCTTTCTTATACAAAATCTTAACCCAGTAGCAAGTTGATGATTGATACGTATTTTAGTGCAACATGCCATACTTGAGAATTGCATAAAATGACATTTGAAGTTTTTAAGTATTTTTATTAGCCTTAGACCTCATAAACTGACTGACTACAGCAAATCACAGTCAACCTTATATTGCACATTCATACACATGAATCGACATTAGTAAGTGAAATCAACTCCCACACCACTAAGTCTAAGCCTTAAGAGTTTTTGGGATGAAAGATCCCTCTTGGATAAGTGTTGTCTGAATGAGACCAAACTAATATGGCTTGAATTGAGCTGGGCAATATGACAATATAGTTTATCACGATAATGATAAATATCACAATACAATATACTTTTCTGAAATTATCATGGGTATCGTCAGCACTCGTAGAACACTGACTAACTGCATGTTTCATAATACAGTTGGTAAAATTAGTCCCGTTTAACTGGATTTAGTGCAACATAGTATGTGAAACATTGAATACAAATTGTTGTATTCATTGTTTTTGATAGTGTAGCACTACTGGTTCGTTTGCCATCTCTAGTCTTAAATTTCTTTGCGGATCTGTAGTGAACGTTGTTTTTTGCATTTTTTTTTCTTTTGGATTCTTTTCGCTTTTTTATATTCATAAAATGTACTTAAATTTCATACTAATTGTTTTCTAAAATTCTCAACATTTGCATGCAAATGATTTATAAAAACCAGTGCACGCTTCAATCTACATACACAACTTTGAATCGCAATTTAATTATTTATAAATCACAAGCGCCCATAGAAATGACCATAAAGTTTTCCAACTCTGTCCACCTTTTAACTGTTGCATATTCCCAGCGATAAATGCTCAAAAGGAGAAAACTCGAAAAAAAGAGTATAGTGCAGCATGTTCAATTTATTAAAAAAAAACAAAAGAAAATACATGCTTAAAGGCCTCAGGGAAGAAATGAATAGGAGCAGTAGTATTGTTTGAGAGTATAATTTTAAAAATAGATAAAACAAAACACAGTTTAAACTGAGTTTTATTTAAATTATTCAAAATTGGTTTGGATTGAAAAAGCTATGCTTATTATATCTGTAAGAACGGCATGTTCACTGATTGTGAACTCTCAGCAAACTGGCAGGCCTTGCGGAGGGGCACGTGAAGGAAATCTGCTTATGAGGCACAACTGTATGCTACTGTCTCAGTTCAATTTCGATGACGAATGTAAACTTTTTATTCAGATTTTATTTTAGTCTAACTTGTAATGATCCAACATGAACACAGATCTACTGTAAGAAAAAGCAGTTAAGGAAAAGCAAAATTTAGCCCAACATGGATTAGTAATCCTTAACATTGTTATGATAGTAAACAAATTATGAGATTTTTTAAATGAGTTTAATGCTTGCCACTGTGCACTGTCCCCCTTTAGCAGAGCCATATGAAGTATCTGATGGTAAAATACGTTATCTATGAACCATTAGTGACCTAGCTGTTTATCATTTTGTCAAATTACCTTTTCAACTGAATACATGTGTGGTTTTAATGATGTGGGCTAGATTTCTTAAAGGGTAGTCTAGTTGATAAGTGAAGGTAGTCATTTGTTTTGCCCCCTTATCTAACTGATCCTGTCACAGGGATTGACCACCAAAAGATGAACATCAGGCTAGAAATGCGCATCAATCTATGCACGTTTTCATGTCAAAGCCCGATTTTATAACTCATTACATAAACCTGAATGACTGTGTACAACCATTTTAAGATTTTAAGAATATGTGCAGATGAATCTTTTATAAATGAGGCACCCTGATGCTTTCTTCCTGTCATCTCTGTTCATAACGTGGAACAACCTGAACCAACACAACTAAAGCTTTACCTGTAAGCCAGATGGCTTTTATTTTTATTAAAGGATGAGACTTTCCCTGTAAACAGATGCCATGTTGATCGTTACAAACTTTGACATTCATTTTCCAATCAGTGACTTGTCTCTGGTTTGACCATGATAGCACAATGCTAATTTCTGCTAGCACCCAGATGAATTTCCATAGAGGGTTTAATAATTCTTATGTCACCTGTAGACTGACAACTGGAGTTTGTAAGATTTGCAAGTTACATATTTCAGTGAATCCTTCAGTAAATAAGTTATTTAAGCTTTTAACCTAACATTCACTCTTGAAAGCCTGTTACCCTGATAGCTTTGCAACATGCTAAACACGTGCAGATTTTGCTTCTAAGATGCATTCAGATATCCACATATATGTGAATAACTAAGCTTATGATTAGTTCATGATCTGTGTCAGTTTTCTCTTCATACTCATTCATGTAAGGTTGTGTTTGTGTGATGCATCTGTGCCATAGCTGAATTTTTTTTTCCACCAAGTAGGAGAGTAGTTAACGTGTATTACAATCAGCCTGTTTTACCTTACCCTTGTGTTATTATGTATGTTATTAAAATTATTGAGCTATAATGTTTCGAAGGTCAGGTTTCCAGCTTTCACTGAAGTCCATCTGTTAAATCAGGGGATCTCATGGGAAAGTATGTCATTGTCATTAAGCTAAATGTAATTTGATTATTAATATAATAACTGTTCTCTGGAAAAAAATCCAGGTTAATTATATGTTTCTTCTCTTTTCCTATGAAGTTGACTAAGTGTTATTCTATGAAGAAAAGAACACATCAGTAAAATATTAATTCTGCTTAGGACATGCAACACAAACACTCATACATAAATCTACCAGTTAGAGGCCTATCTGGGCTGCATCTATCGCTTCAGTACGGTTCATTTTTACATCTGTCCTGATTCTCTCTGCTTTGTAGCAATCAGCATCCATCCTACTTTGTGCATTGTCCTGGGTTGTTTTCCTTTTAAGCTGAAGCTGCAATCCAAAACCCAAGGCCCAACTGAGCAGGGGACACACAGAAAAAAAAACACACACCCCCCATTTAGCATAGAAACCCAATACCACCAGTCCTCTTTCTCTGAGGACTATCAGGATTATCAGTCAAACAACTCTAGAGAATCTACAATAGACACTCAGCAAGAGCAGAGACAGGGCACTTTAATCTTGCTTATCTCCCCTCCCTCACACTTTGATAATGGTCTCCCATAAGAGCTGAGAGGCACACTTTAAATGTTAATTGGATAAAAGGCATTGCTTTAATGTAACTTTAAAGAATGATTAATCTTGAGGACGCGGGGTATTGTATGTGGTTTTGCCAAGCCAATACTCTGCTCAATGGCAAAATTCATGTGGACGTTTATATAAAGCAGTATATTTTGGTGTGAATTGCATCTTCGGATTTGGGTTCTTATGCGAATACTTCTTAAGACATCATAATAGTATCATAGAAAACAGTGTTGAAAGATGGGAGCACATGCCATCCTATTTAATTTGAAGACTTTCTGTATCTTTGTTTCTTGAAAAGAGAATTAAGCCTGGCCTTGGACTAAAGCTGAGTTACAGTGGTCACAGATTTTTAGTGGGTTCACTTTTGGGACAGAGATTAAGCATAATTCTAGACCAAGAGTACCCAACAACCTAACATATCAAGGGTCACAGAGACTGCAGAAATATGTTTCAGCAATGCAGAACACCACCTGATTTCCCTAATAAGCTCTCCCTTCAATGAATATGGACAGATAATTAGTGAAATCAAGTGTTATGGCGAGGGTTTGGAGCAAATGCCTGTACAACGGCGGGCCTTAATAAGGTCCTCAAGTAAAAAGAATTTCAATAGAGAATCACTTGACACTGTAACTGGAAATCTAGACTCAGTCTAAGCACTTGGTTCCACCCTGACCTACAGGACACACTATAAACCAAGACAGACTATAAAATCTGCGGTCTGAAAACTGGCCAAAAGTGCCACAAGAACAAATCACTGAATAATTCAAAGCCATGTCTCGCCTTGAAATAGCTAAACTTATGTTAAGCAGTAACTTCATTAAACAATGAACGCTATGTTAGTTACTTCCCGAAAAATCATGCCCGAATCAGCATCAGCCATGTAATCACTATGGTAGCAGAGCGAGGAAGCCTTGTGACGAGGTCAGAAAAGCTGAACTCCAGATGCACCTTCGAGTGCTTACCGACAGTAAAGTATGGCAGGGAGAACGAGCGGGTCTTGGCACGCAATGTATCAAACATAAAGCATCCTGTTTAGCACATTTAGACATCACACGACAAGTTATATTTCATATATTATAAGAAGAGAACAAATGTGATAGCACAGAGCTAAGGAAAACCAAAGAAGAGCCCAATTGTTGAGACCAGCCTGGTAAAACAATCTCGCTCCAGCTCACCTGAGTGCACGGTGTGCAAACCTTCGATTTGGCCCTTAAACACATGTTTCAAAGTTGCCTCATCCACTGCATTCGCTCTAAAATGGAGTGAACTAGGG